AGGATAAGCGTTTGAAATCAGTTGCAAGATTAGACCAATACCTATATATACCTAGCAAATAAAAGTATGTAATATGCTTACAAATAGGTATTTAATATTTAAGTAATGTATTTCTATTGACAAACACTTATATCTGAAATAACTCCGATCCAAATGTTCGTAAATGTACAAAGTATAATTGATGAAAAAACTATTTTTATTCCTACCTATTGATCACGTCAAAATTATATCATACTAGTGGACGCCCGCGACTTCGTCCGCGTGGAAGTCGGTATCCCGTGGGAGTGAGAAGTTTTCCCAGTAAAAAGTACCCTATGTGTTATTCTGATGTATAACCTATATTGCTGTAAAGTTTTATCCAAATCCGTCCAGTAGTTTTTTCGTGAAAGAGTAACAAACATCCATACATCCATACTTACAAACTTTCGCCTTTATAATATTAATAGGATAGCTAAAATACTATGTGTATTTGGTTGTTATTAAATTCTTATAATACAACATAGAACTCTTTATTGATAACATTACACAATCGATTGATACAAACAAGTAAATTAACACTTTTATGTAACAATTGGTGAACTTATCGCATAAAGCGTTTATTTTCCAGACAACCAGTGAATGGTGCGAGATAACATAAATATTCCATAGACGGACAGCTTGTACGGTAAAAGACGAATTATAAAATGAAGTGCGATGAAATGGAATCGCAAGACTCAGGTTCTCTGATAGCAATGTATAATAATTTGAACAGTATAGAAACTGAAACTTTATTTTAGACAGCAAGGATTGATCAATATGTTATAGAGAATATGAGAATTCCGGCAAAGACATATAGGAAGCCACTTGAACTCAGAACGAAAATTAGATATCATATATGAAACAGATACAAAAGTTTTGAAAACGCTCGAGTTTATAAGCTGGTCCTCAGAAAGATCAAGCTAGCAGGCGTCGACGTAATCGAGTATAGGAAGCAGCAAAGATTGCGCTAGCTCAGCTTTAGTGGCAGTGGGTAAGTTTCGTTGTATTTTCAATGAAGCGATTGATGTATATTACTTGAACTGACAGCTTGCAGTTGAGGAATCCATTAGATGACTGTCCATGACTATCCCAAGGTTCCTTACCGTTCGACTAAAAGGAATATCTATGCCATCAAATCCACTTTCGGTAGTGCCTGTAAATCAACTTTGGAGATAATTCTGGAGCTACCTGTAATCATGACTTGAGTTTTAGTGGGTTTGACATTCCGCAATGTGTTGAAGGTTGTGGTTCGTTTTGACTACTGCCTCATCTAATTTAGCCACTGGTGCTTTGTAGTTAATCTGTTAATCGTCGGCATATAGGTGATAGAAAAAAGAAAGAAGGGAGATAATACGCCATCTTGGAGAACGCCAGCTTTCGTGTCACACCATAATAAGAACTTCTCATCAAGGAAAACATGCTGCCTTCGTCCTGCAGGCAACGTATCCTATATAACAGGTAACTGCGAAACCAGTCAATTACATTTAGAAATATGTTAAGTGAGTGCAGCAAAGCAAGAAATACGGCGAAATCAACAGTATTAAAAGCGTTACTGAAATCCAATAATGTTAACACAGTCAGGAATATCATCAGTGATTTTTAGTAGAGTCGTAGTAGTGCTGTGGTCAAGCCGGAAACCGGATTGCAGAGGATTTAACAGGTTATGCCAGGAAATAAACTTGCTAAGATGTTGTTGACCAAGATGTTCCAAGAGTTAATATAGGAGGGGAGAATAGATATAGGACGACATTCATTAAGAGAATACACATTTTAGGGAATGGAATTATTTGAGTATCTTACCAAGATGAAGGAAATACGAAATTGGAAATAGATCCATTGAAAAGAAAAGTAAGGACAGAAAGGAGAATGAATGAATGAATGAATGAACACTTTATTGTACTTGAAAATAAATAAAAATCAACATAACAAATTAATAACAATAAACAGTACAATTGGCGGCCTTATCGCTAAAAAGGCCTTATTGGCACTTGTATGTTTCGACTGATGCCGTTGCTAACAAGAGCATTGGAGGTGATTAACAGAACTCTTAAGATTTACCAAAGCAAAGTGACCTGAGGAATTTCCAAACTTTCGCTGGATCATCGTTTTCGACAGATTTATCGATATGGCGACGTAAGATATTCTTAGACACCACATTGCAGCGATTTCGTACGTACGGACGTAATTTATAATTTATAACTTTTAGCAACTACCATTTCATATATCAATAATTTTATGTCATCAGTAAGCCGTGACGCTGGCAAGTGTTTTATTTTGTTAGGCCGATAAGGTACATGCTTGTTATACAGCTGATTAATTTGTGCGTTAAAAGCTGCAACCGATTCAACCACGGTCTGAGCATCTAGCACAAGTGAGCAATTGATACAACGAGCGTCCTCTAGAACCTGCTCGCGATACATACCTCTAAAATTGCGCTGAAAATGACTTAACGTTTGATATTAGGAGAATAAAATTTTATAAGACACAAAAATAAGGTCATGATAAGAAAAAGCATCGGCTAAACATTGAACATACTTTGCAACATGCTGTAATGATACTAAAAACAGATTAAGAAGATAAGGCGTGGAGTTAGGAAAATTATGAGTTGTATCAAGTGGAAGTATGTGTATGTAGCTTAAGTTAATAACTCTTTGAAAAGAAAAAGTGGTCGATGGTAATTTTTGAGAAGGCATTTCTATTATTATTATTGTAATTATACCCTCTTTGGTAATAAGTAATTCTTTCAAATGCACATTATAAAGTTATTGATATTACAAATATCTTCTTTGTATATTAATATGTATTTAAATAGATCCAATATTTATAAGATTGCACATGACTGCAATCTGCAACACGGACAAAAACAACTGCATAACAATTTATTCGTAAGGTCACTGTAGTCACAATATCTGATTTATAAAAAAAAAAATTACAAAAAAAAATAATTTTTCAACTTGATATTTTTAAAGTAGGTAATCAAGTGGCTCGTCCGCCGCTTTAAAGGTATCATTTCTCAGGGCCCGGTTTTGACTCCCGATTGGGTAAATAATTTGTGTAGAGGTATAGTTCTTGTTGGGTTCTTAGTTAAGATGCTATGGTACCTTCGCAGTTTCGGATTTCCATAATACAAGTGCTATAATTGTTTAATTTGGGATCAGAGCAATGTATGTGATGTTTTCTAATATTTCTTCAATTATTGATATAAGTTTATACATGTTATTATATTAATATACCTTCCCTACTATTTATGGAGGTACATAATGTCATGGGCGTTGAGTCTTCAAAAGCGTTTTAGAGCTGTTTTTTGTCGTGTATTGTAGCTAGGCCTTGTTCCCCCTTCAGCCACATAACTCAGAATATATAAATGTCACACTAACTTAATATGAAACTAGTGCTACTAGATATAAAATATTGCTTGTTTAATATCGTTTTCGGAATATCCCCGCATTCGTGATTACCCTAAGCACCATACCTGATTTTTATAATTTATATAAAAAGTTATCATTCATCACAAATTGGTTTGTCGAAATCAAATAAAGTACATAAGAAAACTAATGTAAAAGACATCAACGCGTGACTTATATAAGGTTATTTTATCGTATAGGTATTAAAAGTGTAAAATATTCGAAAACCTTATATTGTAGAAGGGTGTAATATTAACAACTTCAGTAGTTTAATTCTTCAAAATTATTGAATCAATTTTGAACTAACTTTTTCTGTTCTCTCAGTCGAAAGCGAATTGATCATACGAAAAAGAATCTTTGCAATCCAATGTCCAACTTGCGCGAAATACGAGGACAAACATTCATAACACCTACATTTATAAAATTCTAACATATGTATTTAGAAGTCCTTATAAACTGACATATGGACATGCATTAATATTGCGCTATTCCAACAAAGTTTCATAAAAAAATGTACTTTTATAAATCCGTTTAAATGAAAAATATGAAGAAACTATTCACTTCGTCATGGACAATAAGAAAAATGTTCAATTTTTCTTCATATCATCACACGGATATAATTCGAACCCACGACCTTTCGCAATCCGAGCGACTGCTCTAACAACAGAGCTACCCTTGTTACTTTTTCGCTACTGCAGAGCGTATTCTCATCAATGTTCAGGCAATCCACCTACACAACCGAAAGAAATATTTTTACAAATATTTTAAACTTTCATTAGACGAAAATTTGTTCTAATTATTATATTTTATAAATTTTGCATCAGCAATCCTATACTGGATAATATTCTTAGTGAAAAATGCTTAAAAATCCACTTTGTCCCTGGCTGGGACTCGAGCCCACGACCGGAGCATTCGGCCGGATAGCGAAATGTTCGACCGCTTGCCCACAGAGCTCTGTGAACAATCTATTTCGGTTGCCATCAGTTACAGAATAAGGGGCCAGGTGTGCGATTGCCTAACTCTATTTCTATATGATACATCTTAGCGAATACTATGACGATAATTCGTTCTATTTTACTACTTCGCATGTCTTCTGGTGGATCAATATTGGGATAAATGACTTAGTTCGAAACATTGCTGTCAAATCCATAATAATGATTCGTTATCATTCATGCTTTATTATTATTTTTTCTAACATTGGTAATACTAGACGGTCGCTCTGCAGCTCGTATACCTAATAGTGATTAGGTAATGAAACCGAAACGAAGGAAGTGGTTATTTCACCCTTATATATATTAAACCATTAAATATGTGCATAATATAGTCGTTTAGTTAATTTATTCAAAAATATACCACAGTCTTGTTTTATAAAGTCGTTACAAGATCCTACTACTATTCTTTGTAATATTTTTTATATTTGAATAGTATTTTTATGTAAAATCTCAGTTTAGGCAGTTCTGTAATTTGAATTTTTATTAAAATATTAATATCACTACTGTGACGTAGGAATTAAATATAAAAAAATAGTATCTTCATCCGCTCATTTTGGGTATGACAGAAGGGAATAACAACAATAAACAAAATTCAAAAAATAATTTAATGAATCCACAGGTTTTACTACAAACTACCAAGTTAAGCGCATCACGTGATCAGTCTTTCGTTTAGACGATTTTATAAAACCAAGGAATTGAAGCTCCGCTACTGCACGCGTGAAACGAACTCTGAAACAAACGGATTTAATCATTGAACTTAATAAAATTCATTTATTCTTTTTATTCGTAAGGTCACTGCCGTATACTTAAAATAACAAGACTGAAAATATAACATATAAATCGATCATAGTCGCAGCACTAACATCTCGTGCCTTCAAATTACTTTACATTATTACACTCAATAATTCAGCTCACATTATACACAAGCACAAATAAATAACAAGAATTTCCAATATTGCTATTATTACTATTACTATTATTGTATTGCAACCATGTTAGAAAAATAATAAGTCTATCTATCTCAAATTTATAAACAGAAAATATTTGATTATAAGTTTATGCATTGCATACTCTGAAACTACTGGACTGATTTTTATCTTTCACTTACGAAAAGCTACATCATATGTAGGTGATATACATATACAACATCTACTAATTTATAAAATATGAAAATTATCGTTTAGGTAATTCTAGAGACCGAATGTGTGGTGATACTTTTATGTTATTACTAGCTGTGCCCGCGACTTCGTCTGCGTAGGAAAGTAGATTTGAAGAAAACGGTAAAATTATGATTTGCCGCGTCACTATTAGTAAGCTATCGTGGATTTAAAGATTGCCCAAAACACAGTCTGCGCTTTTCTTAATTCTTTTACCTATATTATAAAGTATTTGTCTTAAAGCACCATTTTGTTTCGTTACGTTTCCGTTTAATTCCTAAAATTATTGCCTAAAGCGCTATCTAAGAATCTACATATAATAAATAGAGAGTAGAAGGTAGGAGATGTAAGTACTTCTGTATAGTCAAATTTAGTAAAAATACAGTAGTATTTTTACTAAATTTGACTATACAGAAGTGTGGGACAGTACAACGGACGACGGGCAGTCAGTTGTGTTGCGTAATAGTCATCCGCTCTGTACACGATGATTTTACAATGCTTCTCTGTACACGATATTAGACGTACATATTATCAATATCCAGTATTTTTTCTGTGGAAAGTAACATTCGTTCAAACCTACAAACTTTTGACTATAAAATATTATGGTAGATTGTATCTCCTAGTGTTTGTCATTTAACCAAAGATTAACTGGGAGAAAATGCTATGAGCATTACTTCAGTTATTTGTACCATGCTTGTATTATTGGTCAATGAAGTTCTTTAATAATGAAATGAACATAGTTTAATAAAACAGTTATAGCAATTTAGGCGAACATAATACTACTAATTGATATAAATTTTGTATTTATAAGCCGATTCAAATAAAACTAACACTAAATGTTAACGGAAAGTAACCACAATACAATAGTGAAAACTGCATTTAAATCGGTTCAGCCGTTTCTGAAATTAGTGTGCAAACACACAGACAAACAGACAAACCGACAAAAAATATAAATCATTGTTTTGTGTTCTATTACGTTTATAAATGCCCATTATAAATTTTTTTTTCATATATCTTCAATGTACAGACATCGATCAATTATGTTTTTATTATAGTACCAATTATGTTGTAGTGACAATTGCATAGCTGAACAACGTATTGGAAGAAAAAGATTTTATTAATTGATAAGAAGCTATATGATGTTTTAAGCTTTCATGGTCATGGTCATGGTCATGGGTTTGGGCATGGGCATGGTCATGGTGGCCATGGCTCTTACAAAAGCGCTGAAATTACGGAAAAATAAAAAAAAGTCATGAACTTTTTTTAATAATCCCGTAAAAAACTATCATTGCTATAAGTTGCTGTTTTCACATACAGTGTAACTTTCCGTAGGTGAAAGAATTTTGATGATTGGATGAGTATTGTCACTTTAAGATTACCCCCAACAAACACACAAAGTTAGAAACTTTACCTCTTTATAATATTAGTATTAGATTTTCGGGTTATATATCTTAATTTACAGTCAGATAGGTTTCACTACATAGAAAGCATTTGAAATATTCTAAGGCAAATATGTGATACTAGCTTTCCGCCAGCGGATTCGCTCGCGTTTTACCTAAGGAACTGTTTGTATATTTGGATATCGATTCATATCATCACACAGATATAATTATTATGGCAAATTGAATAGTAAACAATGGTTACTATGGGAACGTCTTAATTCCATATACAAACTTCCACTCCCATTAACATCCCTTTATTTGCTGGATAAAATAGCCTATGTTCACCGCAGATGATGTAGCTTCCTTAAGGTGAAAGAATTTTCAAAATCGATCCAATAGATTCGGAGCCTATTCGTTGCCAACAAACAAACAATCAAGTTTTTCCTCTTTATAATATTAGTATAGATTATAAAATATTTACTGTATGGTAGAGTCGTGGTCACGCTGATCGTCATCGGGCTTGAGTACAGAAGCGAAGGCCTGAAGCCAATCATACAGGTTGATATGTTTCCCGCACTCGCGATGCAACTTGTATGCCACACTGACGTCCGGCAACGTATCGCTTATGCTCTCCAACGACGGCAATATACAACACGAACACTTGAAACAACAAAGTATCATGTCCACTTTCCATACATTTATTGACCTGTCACATGTTTTTTGAAAATCACGTCTATCCACCTTTAGTAATAATTAAAATTAGATTTGCTTAAAATAGAATATCTTAGCGTCTTTTTATCTGGTGGCCAAGGAGATTCGTAATTATTTGTAAACAACGTTTTGGGGTTATCGAAATAAGAGTGACTACTGAGCTACTGAGCTACTTTAGCATTGAAAATCGAAGCTTTTTAAAGTTTACTCTTAAATATGGAAATAAATGCAAATGTAATTACTTAATGTGCACTTTTTTACGAAATAATATTTTTTCGTATTACATTAAACGAATCGTAGCCAACCATGATTAGTCCGAACCGCTTTGAGGTACTAGACGTGTTAGTAAATTTTTAGATCGAAATTGGACATTTATTTATTTAATACTAACTTTCCGCCTGCGGCTTCAGCCCCTATGGCAGCCCCTTCAAACGTTCCTCTTAAATCACTCTGTATATTGATGAGAACCGCATCAAAATTCGTTGTGTAATTTAAAAGATTTCAAAGTATAGACAGCGGATAACAACTTTGTTCTACACTGTGTAGATTTCTGTATCTAGATTAACTGACTTGGCGAACTTGAATGAATGAATGAATAATAATTTTATTTGCATATATCACACACACACAAGCCAGCAATTATAAAAGTTGAGTGAATACAAATACAGACAAAATATGAAAGAAAAATAAATAAAAACGTCATGCTATCCAATCAATATGGGAACTGTCCTTTTACTAACTAGGGCAGATGACCCAGTTTTAGCCATTTTATCGACACATCAGAGCCGTCATTAATTCTACCATAATGCAAGATTTTAAAAATAATATTTGCCTATGCGTTAGCTAGAACGACTGGACATTCAAAAAGAGGATAGTGGCCAAAACTTATTCCGGCACCAGCCTATTATATCACCATGCTGCTGGCAGCATGGTGATATAATAGGCTGGTGCCGGAATAAGTTATATATTGCCTGAGGCCCAGGCCTCAGGCAAGAGCAAAAACAAGAATGGGGCCATAATCCACCAAGCGGCCCAATCTGGATTGGTGAGTGCAGATCTACAGATTAGTGTGCTTTCCGAAGCATTGAGGAGCTGAAGGTAAGAATTTTTTAGTCATCCATCAAATGACCGATCCTTTTATAATCAAATCAAAGCAATAATAAATAGTCATACCTGTAAATAATGAACTGGATTACTCAGTGCAGTATGTTGTGCACCACGTGGTGAACCGACAATTTGCTTTCTGACATTACCCACATCGCTGAAGAAGAATATCTCGTGGAATGTTTGCGAATGCGGCGGTTGCAATCCCTTATTGAACATGGCCTCCAAATAGCTCACGAATCTATCTCTTATCATTTCGAACTCCGACTGAACTCTATCCGTCCTTGTTGCTTTTAGGAGTTTCTGGAAATAGAATTAACTTTAAACGTTTTCATCGCGTTTGTATTTTCTTATATGACATTTTGGACTGTAGGGTCCGTGTCCACATCAAGACTAAGGTGTCATTTTAATTAAGAGTATAGCTACCTTCGAAACAATACTATTGGACACATTCACAATACAAAAAAAAGACGGAAATGTTTACATTTATTAAATTATTTTAAAAATACATTTGACTAATTAATTTACCCCTACCTACCATAAACAACCAATCCGTTTACAGTTGTTTCATTTAATGGAAAGTGCGCGTGAAAACATAAGAAATCAGAATTATGTTATGTCTATGAGTCATAAAGCAATTTATTTTCACTATGGAAGACTATTATAAAATTAATAAGGTTTAATTTATTAAGGTCTGTTAAAATTAACTAAACTATGACTGTTAGATAATTAATAATGAATCAAAACCAAAAATAAGCCATAGCACAATGTTATTTACTTCCCTCCCACATTCACATAGTCATGGACATTTATTTTACTTTATATAATTGTTTTTAATTAATTTTGAATGATAATATTTGCCAATAAATAAACTCGGCTACAGATTCTAAATGTAATGTAAAATTTGTTGGCCATTGCCTTAACTGATAAATATTTTATCTTTACTTATTTTTTTATAATAATACAATATTATTCATCAATTAATTAAAAACCAGTTCTTAATAAAAGCGCTTATTTCTTATGAAGAAGTCAGTACAAGCAGAGTCAAAAATAAATTTACATTAATTTGATAACTCTCAAAATTTATCAGCAAAATAATGTCGCAAGGATTAATCACTGTTTAAGTAACTAAATGATTTATTGTTGATAAATAGTATTCATGGCCTGTTGATCACTGATTGGTGGAAACCTCAGAAACAGCCAACAATGTTAACTATGGATATGTGTTGTCTTTTTATCCATAATAGGCTCACTCTTGAATTAAATCATTAACTTAAATGGGTATCAAAGAAACGAAAGTTACCTCTTTTAACTTATATCTATTACCAGGTACATTTTCAATATCATTATCCAATTCTTCCGATTCTTGAATAGATGCTGTAACTTCATTATTTGCGCCTTCAATTTGTCTCGAAAACAAAAGCAAATGAACTCTAACAGTCCTTAAAAAGGATTCTCCTAGATTATCATTCAAGGCAATATTGTTTAAATTATTTTTAGTGGGCGTTGACCTAAGAGGTTTGATAGGGGACACAATTTGTAACGCCGAATTAATAATCTTCAATGAATTCTTTATGCTATCAGCCAACTTTAATTGCGATTGAAATTTAATCATCATCATACATTCTTTAAACGCAGCTGTATTGGTTACAGATTCTACTGCACATTTCGTATAAACTTCTCTTACCTAGAATTAAAAATTAAACAGTTTCATTTTAAATATCTTAACGCCTTAAATACCACGTCCTGATAATGTAGATTATGAATAAAAATCTAAAACTAAAAAACCATATAAAACATAATTTTTTTAAGAACAGATGTCAGATATCTAAAAATAAAATTTTGAAAGTCACCTTTTGAACCCAATCTAGCATAGGTAATATATCATATTAAACAAATATATACTCACAGATTTCCCAAGTAGATTTTTAGGAATATCTTTAATATAACACAGTAATAGTCTCACGCAGATATAAAAAGTATACATATAATCATGGAGCTTATGCATTTCCTTTATAAGAACTTCTCTGAAGAAATCGTCATCTTCAAAGAGACCTATTTTAGTCTGGCAATCCAATTGAGCCTCAACAAATGGTCGAAATGACATCAACTGTCGGATGCTTTCTAAATCATCCAAACTTAAATTCGTTACAACTTCTTCTATTCTATTTCTTTCACAACATAAAGACTTCACATTGTCACCATAATAATGATCCATCATACAGTACTGCAATCATAAAACACATAAATATTAGAATTAAAATATACTTATTACAATCAACTTAAAATAGTGTATTAATTTAGTCATATTTATTTTATTTTTATTTTATTTATTTAAATTAATGAATAATTCATTTCCATTAATGAACAATGGATGCATGAATGGGAGACAATAAGAGTGAGACCGCTGAGATATTTTGTTATTTTTTTTGACGTTTGTCAAATTTCCCAAAGGTTGACTGGGAGAGAACGCTATTAGCATAAAGTCCATCTTTTGTACTATGCTGTTATTGGCCAATAAATTCAATAAATAAAATAATTACATTGTTTTATTGATTTGGTAATGGCATGATTTTTATAAACTTCTGTTAAGAGCTGGTGAGTCTCTTGCTAGTTCTAGTTATCAGCCAAAAGACGTCTTGAACGAGTGGTAGGGAAAAAATGTTGGACGATTCAAAAGTACATTTAACAAGTTTATTTGAAAAAAGATCGCTTTGATTTTGACTTGATGCCTAGTGCCGAGAGATGGTAGAAATAATTGACTTGTAGATTTTGATAATATTTATAGAAGTATCACTTAAATAGAAATAGGTATTAGACACAAATACTTAGCATCTGTTTATATACTTTAATTATACCACAATATACAATTCCGTTTTACCACTCTCTAAGCAACAAATATCTTTAATTTGTCAATTATAACATTATTCCAGTCAATAAAGAAAAATCATTATACAAAAAAAAATATTAATTTGTATTCTAAGTTATTTTCACTATTGAAAACACAGGTGAACAGAATAAAACCCAAATTTAATCTAGTTAAAGCAACAGAATTTACAGCCAGTTGTACAAAAGTTCATTAAAATTGTCATTAGTTTAAAAAGACATTACCCATACAAATTTGACATTCATTATAGCTTAAAGACGTTATTAACTCTTAATGGACGTTTGTGCACTGACCGTTAGTGTTATTAATATAATGTGGATTCTTCCTACCTCTTTGGGGTATGAATATATTTTAATTATATTGAAATCAAGCTATTTTATATTGATTCAATCGACGTCGTCGTGTCTATTTTTTCAATACAATCGTGTGACAGTGTGCATAGGCGAGTAGCATGACTATATGGGGCATATGTCCCCGCCCCAACCTATGCTGATCAGTTCAGTATGGAACCGTTTGCATTAGTTATTCCTTTTTAACTCGCGCAAATCAAACTCATAATTTAATTATGAAAACAATACTCTCGGGGCGGGGCATAACAGGCAATTTATAATCGCCGCTTTCAGTCTTTTTATCCACCTCAGACTCTCGAGTCCCTCCTCAAGATCACCCACGCGTGCTGAATACCAATCAGCCCTCAATAATAATGGAACCTTACTACTTACCTTTACACTTTGAATTAATCCTGTTACAGAAAAATCATAGAATAAAAAAACATCTGTCAATAATTCCAAAGCCTTTCCAGATAAATGGAACGGAGAAGTGTGAGTTAGAAATATGTCTTCTACAACCTGAAAGCAATTACAGAGGTACATATGTGGTTAAATCTGTAATCATACTTTTTATAGGCAAAGAAAAAAACGATATTACATTAATATTTTCTTATTTCTACAAAATACGAAACATACTTATTTCATGCGAAATAAAATTTCAAGACTACATTGAAAGTCATTTCGTTACAATCATTAGTTAGGAGATATTAGCACTGCACTGACGTGCATTGACTAGCCTTCAGATGACTCATTCATTTATTCGCTCTGTCTGTGAAAACTTTTTTGTTTGATAAACATATTATACAAGGATTCGTAATTATCAAGATAATTATTTTTTGGATAGTTATCAAGATAATTATTTCTTGGATAATTATCAAGATAATTATTTTTTGGATAGTTATCAAGATAATTATTTCTTGGATAATTATCAAGATAATTATTTTTTTGATACTTATCATGATGATTATTGGATAAATTTTTTTTTGATAATTAACATGATGTTTATTGGATAATTTTTTTTTTGATAATTACCATGATGATTATTGGAGAATTATCAAGATAATATGTTTTTGGATAATAATCATGATAATTATCTGATAATTATCCATGGTCACATGCAACATTTTTTTTAAATATGGTAAGGCATTCATAATTGAATCAACTATCATTTTTGTTATTTTAAATTATAAAAAATATACAAACAAAATAAACATTAAAAATATTTGTCAAATAAATCATCATAAATAAAATATTTTTAATAAAAAGGGGTCTTCTAATTTTTGCCAGTTACAGTATAAGGATATACTAATCTAAAACAAGTACATACTTACTTGATTCATATACACAGGAGACGAATGTGAATGAAATACTTTTATAAGTAATTTTGAAGATACATGATATGGAAAAGATTTATGTAATGCAGAGATAGATGTTGCTACTCCAAATATGAAAACTATGGGCAATGATGAAGTATAAGAGCTGTAAGAAAATAACATTTTTTTGAAATCAAAATACTAAGAAAACTATGTACAAATGAATAATTTTTGTACCTCACAATCATCACAAAATCTTGCAGAATACTACAATTGAAACTTTCGAAATCTGGTATAATTATTACTAATAGTTTATTAGTATATTTCTGTTTCTTTTTCTTTGGTGATGCATTTGTATAAGTGATATTATACCACTTCTGTAATACTTTCATTGTGCATTGATTCTTTTTTATTTTTTTAAACTGGCTGGAGCCGACCTCTCTGGCCTCATCCTCATCATATTCCTAAAAATGTAAAATGTATTAACACATAAATTACAAAATGTTAAGTACATTTATTTCTCAAAATATATTTTGCTTCTTTTGTTGTTTGTATTGTTGAATAGTACTTTTTTTATGATACTATAAGAAATGGGCAACACTTGTGTAAACTATTTAGTTTAACAATACATATTACAAAACACACACCTATAGCATTATACATTTTGCTGATACACAATATTTATTCAAATAAATAAAATAAAGAGAAAATTATTACAAATATTATACATAAGTCCATCAATTAAAAACAACTCAGACCAGGAAAGAAATATCGTTAAAGATTGCAGATAGTTAATTTGAAAAACCAAGTTCTTTAAAATGCAAATGTTACTTCCCCTTGCATTGTCTGCAATATACTTTGCAACTTAAACACACTTTCATTTACTTAACACATGAATAGGAGTTTATCAAAGTTATTTTACCAATGTTTCAGAACCATGTATTAATTGCGAAACAGCATTTTCTACCAAATGTTTCAAGGTAGAGGAATCTTGTGAATTGACAATTGCTACATGTGGTGTCACATCTTCCCTGTAATAAATATTTGTTAGCTTTTAAAAAGTTCCTTTTTCTTTGCTGTTTAATAGATTTAAATAAAATGCATACTTTATTTTTTTAACTAAAGTTATGAATTGAGATACATGATCTGGCTGGTTCACACCCGTTAACAGAGTAGCACTTGGAATTATTCCTTCCATCATTTCAGAATTATAATTGCCAAAAAATGATTGCACATAATTGACAATATCATTGAGGAGAACATTGTATGTTCTGTGATGAAGTTTCTGAAAATAATAATTTAATAAATCACTGGTATTACACTAGAACCTGTTAATCTGAATTGTTTATTTTGACTAACCGCTTAATATAACATATTTAAAGGGAAAGTTTATAGGAAAGACAAGATAAGAGGTCCCTTTTAAATCTTCAATCTAAAAGATAGAACCTAATGTTGTGCATAATCAGAATTTGGGTTCGAATTTTTACAGTAGAGCCGCTGTTCTCGAATGTTTGTTAGCATCACTATTTATGGTCCAATGACATGTGTCAACAGGGTCCTCTAATTTTGTAGACTAGTCTCCATTTTTTTTCCTCTATACAAATATAAATCACCAATAAATTCATCCAAGTCATGACAATTCCATAGAAAAATATAGTTTAAAATAAATTGCTGCTTCTGCTGTAGAACACCATTATCATGCATATCTTAATCTGATATGCATTAAAATTCTGTTGAATCATTTTAATGATAAGTAAGTCATACCTGTATTTCAGTTTCAATATATTCCCAATTAGATTTATATGTAATATACCATGGCTCTTTTGTAAACAATCTATCAAAAAGATTTATCTTCTTTTTAAACTGTTTTGATTTATTGAATTTGTTTTTGAATATAAACACACCCTGAAAATGAGAAGTCAATGGTTAGAAAACTTTGTACTTAGTTTTTTTTTTATAATAAAAATTACTTAAAATAATGGTAAAATTATATTAACCTTTGACACAGAAATCGTGGATTCCATAGCTGTTTTTATTGTTAATAAACTTATTTTGAACAAACACTATCACACTTGTTTTATTGACTTCGGATCATCAGTTTAATAAATAAACATAATTTAATTGAACAAAGTTTGTAAGTGTAAGTAGTTAGGTAATTAATTAACTTCGCATTTTAATATTTTACCATAAATTATAATATATTTTTATAAGATAATTTCGCGAAACAAATTTGAACGAAATATTATTTATTTTTTGACAATTTGACACTGACAGATACAATTAAGGCGCGAAATATCTAACTTTTTTAGACAACGGGCTTAAAACATACAGACTAATTGATTATTGTTGTAAATTAAATGAATTAAAGTATTTTTTGACATGCGAATGTATTATCTTGACTGGATTTTAACTTTTTGACCCTGTCTCTCATATTTCGTTATGTTCACTGTACTAATATTATAAAGAAACTATCGAATGTTTGTTTATTTGCATCGGATAGGCTGCCAAACTATTTTTTGATCGATTTAAAAAAATCTTTCTCCTACTAAAGCTACATCATATACGTATGTACATAGCCTGTCATACATAGCTTTTATATTTTATAGGCTTTGTCAATGAAGGCTATTTACGCAACCGAAATCGCAGGAAAATAGCTACCTACTTAAGCATATGGTCCGATGTAGGTAAATTTCGATTTTATTAGAGGCTCATATCTATCCAACAGTGCTATTCTGTAATAATACGAGCCTAGAACGTGAGGTCGGGCACAACGTTGTCACAGCAACGAGATTCAATCAAATAAAACTTGTACTAATTCAAAAAGTAATGTCATTGTCGATTAACGTTATTATTATCCAATAAATTTACATTTAGTCTGATTTAATTAAATTAGGCAGCGATTCACCTCTGAATAAGATAGATACCTATTATAATAAACTGTAAACATTCGTATACAATTTCTTGATAATTTCAGTATAAAATCCAATGAGGAAGTATTAAAAAAAAACGAAATCACTAAAAAAGCACCTCTACTAGATGGCGACTCTAGCAAAAGTTGATTTTTGCAAGAAACGTATGGACCAAAGACAGTCATTTCCGTTCCTTTTAAATAACAAATTAAAAAACACAAAAAAATTGAAAAGTTTGAAACTTAGATATCAATACAAATACGAAAAAGTACAAATAGAATATAAATTTTTTATTCAGTTTTGAAAACTAATTTACTTTTAAAAAGAAAACCGGAAAGGTTGTCATGGAGACATCAAGAACGTACCGTAGCGTCTTCTAGTTTGATTCTGGGAACTAATTAAGACGCGTAGTGCTCATCTATACGTACTATATTCATATCACACTTATTATAATAGACTAGTACCTGCTAGTCACAGATATATCTAGTAGCGGACAAAGATCTTCAAATCGGGAGGGGATTGCGCAGAACGAAAGAATATTAAATACTTTTTTTTGCGTAATCAATAAACTGCACCTATACATTGAGTAGCTCAGTGGCGTAATGGATAAGCGCCGCGGCCCGCGATCGTAGTCGTTAAGCAACTTTCGCAAGGGTCGGTCACGGGATGGGTGACCAAAAAATTATTATCTCGAGCTACTCCGTGCTTCGGAAGGCACGTTAAGCCGTTGGTCCCGGCTGCATTTGCAGTCGTTAATACCCTCCAATCCGCATTGGGCCAGCGTGAAGGGTCATGGCCTATCCTCCTTAACCATCCATAAGGAAGGCCTGAGCCCCTGCAGTGGGGACGTAAAAGGGCTGGTGTTACATTGAGGTGAAATGTCGCATAACATCACACCTTTTTATGTTTATTTACCTAAGCCTCAATTAATTAAAAGCAGTAAATAAGTAAGTAAGTACGACACATTTATTGCTACAAAATCCTGTAATAAATAGATTGATTTCTATCTTTTCATTTAAACAAATATTTTTTATTAATCTAGGGCCTCCAGGCGTGCCACTGCCAAAGCCGAGCCAAAAGCTAAACGAAACGCAAGATCCTACTTTTTTTATGGAATAGGGGGCAGATGAGCGGACGAATCACCTGATGGTAAGTGATTACCGTCGCCCATGGACACCTGCAACACCAGAGGGGCTGCAAGCGCGCTGCCGGTCTTTGAGGGACGAATATGATCATAGGGAGGGAAGGGTTGAGGGGTAGAGGGAAGGGAATAGGGAAAAGTTGGGCCTCGGGTACCCTCATTCGTACGACGAAACACAACGCAAGCGTTGCTTCACGTCGGTTTTCTGTGAGGCCGTAGAATCACTCCGGTCGTGCCGGCCCATTCATGCCGAAGCGTGGGTCTCCCACGGTTTTTCTCGAAACCTTCCTCTATTTTTGAACCCTTATAACTTTAGTTTGATATATTTTTCACCCTATGTCTATTTGACTTTAACGGCACATATTTTGAATAAGGAGTAGAATTTATGAAGTAAGGACTTGTAGAATTAGGGCATGTAGAGTTAGAATTTTGGCTCTACGAGCTCTTTTTGAGGATTCGAATCACGTGGTCTTGGCTTGACAGCATTTTACATGATTTTTTTGGTGGATTTATAACGTGTAAGAAATCAATGGTGTCTGCCACATTAATTATTAAATACCTTTATATTAATACTGATATCATATTTTTTACTTCACAATAACCACTATACACACAACTCAAACGAGAGATGACAAAGCCTCTTCCATTGTTTACCCACCGAAATAAAAAGGAAAATTTGTCTGTCATCGCCAACGATGATATCGCAAATACTCTTCTCAAAAAAAAGGTCTAGCGCTAAGCGGAACAAGCCCATATTGAAAAAAAAATATCTTAAAAGTTCTGTGAAAGTTCTTGTAAAATTATCAAAAGAAAAGGAATACTATCGCCGAGCTATAGAAGATATCCCATGTAAGTCCACCAAATTGTCAATTGTTCAGTCTTTAGTTACTCCCAGTTACTCCTAAACGGTTAATAGGCCAGACGGCCTACTAGTATAGAAAATTATCGGATTTAAATAAACAACAAACCAAGATTTTGCTAATTTATTTCATACAATGTTTCGTGAATAGAAACATCTTATTTTTTTTTAATGATATGGTAATATCCAAAAGTTGACGACAATTTTATTTCTGCTAGGTACATTTGCCAACTTAATCTACAATTTCCTATTTCATATTATTTATTAGGATAATATTTACACTATAAATAAAACATTTTAATAAGCACCTGAATAAGTTTGAAAGGAGAGATGACATATTAAATATAGAGTAAAATATTCATTTTTTTCAAATTTTTACACTTTTAATTTATCGTTCTGACCATTGTCAAAACGGACGGTCATTGTATGCACATACAGGCACACATCAAGTTATACAAATATGTCTTACCACTTGATTTTAAACCTTAATGTTTCAAAGGTTGAGTTTCATATTAACTGGAGGTATTTGACATATTGTGGTAACCTAACGTATAGCCGAGCATGTTTCCTTCCACAAAACATCAATTCGCATTATAATTTTTTGACTTAACATTTAAAAGAATAACGATAAAAATCACTGAGTGAAAAAAGTCAATATTGAACAATGTACTGATGACTGTATTTAGGCAGAAACCATAGTTTCTGCAATCATTAAATACCTTTACAATCACTTTTAAATAATATGTCTAACACCACAGTCGAATGTACGATCACTGAGGTGGCGATCGAGGAGGTAGAGTGCTTTCCTCACAAGGAGAATGTCTTCCTTCTTCTGCACTAAACTTAAATTCTCTCTCCCCAGTCTGGTGATCTGGCCCAAGAGGAGAATTTCTATTTTCTGCCGTCGCCTCATTAGATGACCCCGACGGGAACGGTATACCCTCCGCACTGTATACTACTTCACTAGTACCGACGTACTCCGTGGGCTGATAACTGTAACTGTTAATGAACGTGTTGTTAATTTTAATTTTATAATAGAAACAAGTGGGCATACGGCATACAGTAATACACAATTCAGTAATGATAGGCCTTGCTGACGTGATTATACAGACGCAAAATTTGTATAAAAGTAGATAATCGATATTTAGATTGTCCAAAGTTATCCAAGACAAATTAATTATGCAACAGGTCGTTTAATTTTTTCCATTAATTTGCGTAGATTTCTTCTTTATTTGTTAAATTTTGCGTAACCTCTTTCCCAGAACTCCATTTATATCAGGCAAAAATAATATTCACCACCCCTTATATTATTAGTTTACCAAATAATATATTATGACTTTTTTTTACTGGTCTGGAAAAATTCTTGGTTCCTCAGTTCCCCCTCTTAGATCAGGTCCTGCCCATTTCTTTCTTTTTTTTTTATTACTCGTACATCTTATCTTATTCTATGTAATGTTAGAGTTGTAGGTACTCTCCCTTTTTTCTTCCAAAATAACGTCACTCTTGGTTTCAAGTATTCAACTCGTGGATTCGATTAGATCCCGAAGAAGAGTTATGTCTTTTCAATTCATTGCTATACTGACATCATAATTTTAAGCACATGAAAAACCAAAACCATTATAAGATCCAAATATCTACAGTTAAATAGAATACAGGAAAGAACGGTTATACCCAAATTATGAAGTTCCTAATTGATAACTGAACCTTGAAAAAATCGATCAAATTAAACACGATAAGACTACCAAATACCAAAGCATTTACCTATTTGGCCAGTAGGAAATGTCTTCAATAGCATGATGCGCATACGGCGCGTAAGCGTGCTGGTAATATGGCGAGTGATGTTGCGAAGGTGCCTCATACTGCAGAGGGTAGATGGGCGCAGGGCCGGATGCAGGAGCGGTGGTGCTGACTGGTGGTGCGGGGGCGTATTCTAAGGGTGCAGGATACGCATGCGGAGGAGTTCGGTATGGTCCTGGTGAGGTCGTAGGCTGGGGCGAGCTGCTGCCTTGAGCTGAACTCCAATACCCACTGCTACCTGACCAAGTATAGCCACTGCTGTTTGGTGCAATTGTTGTACGTTCTGATGTGCTATAAGTAGCTGTGAACAAAAATAACATTAACGACGCGGGTACAAAAAATATTAAAAAATTAGTGACAACTACACTCTATCACTATTTAACACTAGCATTTAAAATTATATAAACAGTACAAAATAGTTTATTTGTTGTTGCTTAACTTTAATTTATTTCAATTGTACTCGGATATATTTTACTTCTTGGTATTTTAAAAAAGATATTCAGATATAACTCACATGGTGGTGATAATGTTCTTGGGCGGGAAGGCGGTCGCGGGGGGTAAGGCGCTGGCCTCCGCGATGACGCGTTACTACCGCCATATAACGACTGCGACGCTACAAACCATCCACCAACTGTAAGAAAAACGATCGAACTTTTAATAGTCATTATTAACAAATAAAGTAATGGTCAGTCATGCTATTCTATAAAGTGTGCACAGAGTATTGTTTAAAATACAGGAGCACCAACTCTAGAAACATCTTCAAAGGCAGGAAGGAGGCAGAAAAATCCACACTTGGGGTTCTCGTCCTGAGACGCATGCATCTTCTATTTATCCATCTTAGATTGTTTTATACTTTCCAGGGGACTGTACGTACACTCTTGCCATCCCTGACTGTAAATAGAAAAAGCTTTAAATAAACAACAGTTTTAAAACTTACATTGAGGATACTGATGGGGCGATGAGCTCTGTTGTGGATAATGTGTTCCGACAAAATCTCTCTGGTAGTAACCTTCCGGCCTCTCCTTGGCGTCCAAAAATGCCTTTGCGAAAGGATTATACTTGATCTTCAGTGAGGTGACCTCCTCATTCTGGTAAGCCGTTACTGCAATAAACTGCGTTTCCGGAAAAGGGTATGTCATAATGCGCCGAAGATCGGTCCCCACTTTTACTAGGTGAACTCGGGGTTCATATTTGTGGAGGGAATTCAACATAATCTGTAATACATAAAAATAATACATCAAACAATGAGTTGAAAGACAACTTTAAAGTCGTCTTCAATGAATGTTCGCAATTAGAAAATTTGTATCAGTAATGTCGCTTTAAACAAATGAAAATTATAATGGACGTTTGTGTAACGGGCAGTACGTCGACAGCATGCTACATGTTGGGCGCCAATTTTATCTAAACTGCCAATTTACTACAGCATTAAAATCATTTTGAATTTATGTTCTGCAGTGACTCACCACATTTTAACATAGTCATGAACATAACAAAGTAATTTAATACGATTTTCACACGAAGCACTATTTGCAAATAGTGAAATGATAGAAATTAATATATGCATAGCGAGAGTAGCATCTAACATATAATGATGTGTAATGTAAACATAGCGCTGAGACAATAATTATTACAAATGATAGTGCGTATAGGCACCCGCTAAACAGTTTGTAAAGCTACAGATTTCACACCGACCCGTCAACATATGGATCTGGATACATCAGGTGTTTGCTCTCATATTCATTCGCACCACATTCAACCGTGAGAACTGGCTTCTATGAACTAGCGGTAGCTTAGAAACTGTAGCAGTGTAGCACCTTCATATCGCATGTCTCTATCAGTCGATATTAGTATTCAGTCAATAGTGTCCACCGATTATACGGAATCCAGATGAACACAAATTCAGATGAATATGGAGTAGTCTGTCTATGCTGTTTAGAAATCGAAAAGCTCCGATTGGAGCGAAAGATGTTCAAACACACGCCTTATATTTCGGTTAGTTCAGACATGTTTGACTTTTTTAAACAAACATTATACAATCAAATATATCATCAAATCATCGTAGAAATTCAAATCTCACCTGACCGTTTCCGTTGGTTTTATTTGTTAGTTTTACTTTGGCAAATGATATTGGCTCTTTCATCCAATGTGCGCCGAAATTTGGACTTTCCGGATGTATGTATATAGCATTCGAAGGAGGAACTTCAGCTTTACCGCCTGGCACCTGAATTTTTATAAAGTTATACACTCAAAATTTTCTTATAGTATTTTAAAGCAACTAATTAAAAATAGATTTTCTGTACATATTATGAAGATTCTAAATCTTTTCTCTTTTGGGCAACTTAATCATAATAAGTATATGCAGTGGCGGACTAAGGGGGAAAGACCCGGGCCTTCGGTCCTGCGAGGGGGGGGGGGGGGGGGTTCAAATGGGTTGCAGCCTTGCGCCACTGAGTATATTTGTGAAATTATAAAGATAAAAACCTACCCATTCGCCATTTACATATTTCCATCGATGAGAATCCACTTGAACAAATTCTAGCAGAACAGTGTACATCGCCGTAGGATCCAATCCGCTGGCAGTTACCTTAACTACGGGAAACATCCGTCTGAAAAGACACGAAACAAAATTAAATTATCAAAACAATATCAACACATTATGATGCTACAATACTCAAACAATCTAAAATCACTATACCCAACGCAAGAACACGAACATATTAATAATTACAGTTCGTACTCGTATAATAAGGGTATAATACCCTTAATAACTCTTGTTAAAATTATACACTGTGATTAGCACGTTAATTCTGCTATTACAAAGGATAAAAAAGCTTTCGTAAAGACCAGAAAGAAGATCATCAGATGGGTAACCAAAAATGTATTACCTTATCTGATAATTTTTTATTTTGTAATGTTTTAGAAAAATGTTCAATATAACATGTACGATTGGAAGCAGGAGCACTCACCTTATCGAATAAAATATTTCAATAACGATAATCGTTATAATCATCGACCACCCGACTCGTTTTCGTTACTAACTTTTTTTAATTCCTCTATGGAACAGTATTGACAACTTTATACTAACAGTTAAATAACTCGGCTTATAGTATATTATTTCGTCACGATTATTTTAACCCTAACACTATAGGACGGACGACATCATCCGAGTCGCGGGCGGCCGCTGGATGCAGCTGGCGCAATGTCGTCCGTCGTGGCGTTCAAAGGGGGAGGCCTATGTTCAGCAGTGGACGTCTTCCGGCTGATGATGATGATGATGATGATGAACACTATAGGTGTTAGTTCTACAGTTAAATTAATATAAGCTAAGTAAACGCAGCATTACCCCGAGGGGTCAATTTTTGACTTCGATGACAAACTGTACCTAATTATTATTGCAAGTAACACCATTTTTTTTCTTGAGGTAGACTTAGATATACGATTCTGTTAAAAATAGCCTCGAAATCACCATCGAGCTCAGCACAAAGCACAAAGCACAAAGCTAGAGCTTCAATGAGATGAAACCTTTATTACCTTTGAAGTTGGTTTTATTTGATTAAATCTCTACTACGGCGCTGTGATAGCCGTCAAGTTTTAGGCTGTTTTTTAACAGAATAGGAGTACTAGGCCTGGAATATCAACCGAGTTTTCCATCGCAAACTTACTGAATTCAATCGTAAACTCAAAGCAATTGCTATGAAACTAAGAAATATCTCAAATTTGGCAGTTACCCTCGTTATGTGCCTATTTAACAATATGCAATACTGTTGCAATAATCGTTAAATTAACATCGCTATGACTTAGGGAGTGAATTCGGGAAGACAACGATTGCAAACTCTGGCGAGACTGCAGCTCCTGGACTAAACTGAGTACGTAGTGTTTAACCGAGCCGCGTTAATGAGTGCGGCCTACAGTGCTAATGGTTGAAAACTTACCGCCCGTCAGAGACAGTTAGCACAATGCAGGTGCCTTCTGCGCATAGCCTAATTTAGACTGCTCGCAAAACTTTCAAACAATATACTTAGAAAGGTAGATTTTAGAGCAGATGTTTCTCTAGTTCAGCTACAGTTGAAATATATCATATGCGATAGCAAATATAGATATATGTGTGTTTTAACAACATACATACTCGTATTTTGATTGAACAAAATACAAATCGTCATTTGTCTTTTGTTTTTTCACCGCAATATATTATTTTCTCATATAAAAGCAGCAATTACAGTCAGAAGACAATACTTATTGTAAACATGGCTGGTAGTTGCTGGTTCGAGTCCCGGTTAAGTCGTTAAGTACCCTCCTTCGATTGTCTTTCAGAGTTCAATCGGGTGTACTCTAGGGACAACCTTCTTTTTATTGTATTTTCTTTAAATTCATATATAAATGGATAATTTTCGATTATGCTTCCGCGTGAGGTCTCGGCTATTTACACGCCGTATCACCAGTTCCCTTCCTGTAATCTATTTTTTGTATTGTTTTGAAAATTCCAGATTCAATAGCTTGCATAATAAAGGTGAGAATAGATAATTTCTTGTTTTCTTAAGTAACTCCATATTTTTAGTTATTTTGAAATTATAAAAAAATATATTTGAGATTCTTGTAATAGGCAAAAAAATTAATGATAGGGTCATTTAATATTTGACATAATATACTTTACTACACTTTTTCACTATCCCCTGCGATTCTGTAAAACTTCAAACCCGAATTCGAATCCACTCAGGTGTCTGAATTAACTTCAAAAAGCGGCATCCGCTCAAACTTGAATTGGTAATAATGTTTCGTGAAATAAGTGAAGTGAGTTTCGAAATGATATAGGATTAAAATATCTATGACACGTTTAATCAATCAATTTTATTTAGTATTTTAATACAAAAAATGGAATCAATATGATTTCTATACTAAATGACGGGAATTCGGACACACGAGTGAATTCGAATTCGGGTCTGGATTGTTACAGAATCGCAGGGCTGCACTCACTGATAGGAGTGGTCACTGACTAATATATTATACCTAGAGAATCTTAATCAATAATTCCAATAATTTGGGAGCAAATCAGCTGTGAAATACAGACAGACGAATAAGTGATCCTATGAGGATTGCATATTCTGCTTTTAATATACGGAATCCTAAAAGAACAAACGATATCAGTAATATGCATAAGGATAAATGAAGTGCACACTTACCAAGGCTACACCCGACAAACTTCGTTCGTAATAACAAAAAACTTTCGAATTATTTAATTTTTATTTAGCGATATAATGCAGTTAAAGTTTAGTTTAGTAAAATAATTTAAAACTATTATTTTACTTTCACTAATAAATAAAATAAATAGTTTAGTAAAATAAAATTATTGTGATATAAATGTAAATAATAATAATATCAAATTAAAATCGTAATGGATAACTGTAATACTTAACGACATCTTCTTTACATTGTTGTCCTTTTTATTTCAGTGAAGTCACGACATTCACTCATTAAAGCTGTATGAGTTATGCTTTAAATACAATGTAACTTTACTGTTCTATTATTGAAGATAGTATTGAAAATGAAGGATAATTTGCCCATTACTATTCTATGGTTGCGTCAGGATACAAAACTTAAATAATTATTATTTTAACGTGTTTAAGTGCGCTGACTAAATTTTGTTTTCTTTGGTTCTCATCTCCTTTTATAATTTATCAATATTATATAGATAGTGAGCGTAAGTATGATTGCCTAAAATAATGTCTAATACAAAATATAAAATTCTATAAGAACTCAGGAAGAGATTAAAAAGTAGAACTGATTCAACATTGAGAAATAACATTTCTGACTCGTGGAACACCAAAGTGGTGCGCCTAGGTGGTTGATTTTTGTACCACTGGTTCACCTAGGTGTTCTGGTATTCAAAATAATGGACCCGTAGTTCACCTATCTAATGAAATACAAGTCATCCTAAATAATTCAAAAACTAAATGTTATAATTGAAAAAACAGGAAAGAAATATATTTTGGTAATGTAACAATTTAATAAGCGACAGAAACCAGACTTTAGTCCAGAGGTGAATATTCTACTTTTAATTAATAGATATTGTGTCAAATTCTTAGTTCGTATAAAAAATATAAAAAATGCCTAATCAACTACGTAGCTTTTCTACTGCACTCTTTATAGTGATTTCCTTATTAACTTATTGCATTTGTATGTTAATAATATAGTTGTAATTAAGGAAAAATATTTTTCCTTTTTTAATAGGAATTTTATCAGCATTTGCAACTGATACACTTTTTTTAAAAAAAAAGAATAGCGTTATTAATGTCACTGTGTTTTTGTTTAGCGCTCGGTTTAGTTTAGCATTGAAGCCCTCAGTGACATTATTGGTACGGTGATGCTGTCCAAATACACTTAATGTTTTCATTATATCATTTTTAAACCAAAATTAATTTATATAATTTATAAATTTTGACATCGAAATATTGTACTGATCACATTCAGAAACTATATATTTCCAGCAATCTAAAATATTTTTTCCGGAATAATGGTAGAACTGCCGTCAACGCAATAATTCGTCTTTTTCCATAAAGAATTCGACCAATTATATACATATTTTTATTTTATAGCGTATATATGTTATAGCTTATAATGCTCCAATCTCAAAATCTAAGTGAAATTGCCGAGGATTCCATACCGGTAATTGACTTGTTAATAAGTCGAATTAAATAGAGGAGGATTTTTCTTTTTTGTCCGGCACTAACGCAAATATTAGAGGTATTACCTTCGTAGCAGTAATGGAACTTCCCACTTCGCCATAAAAAATATAAAGTTGGTAGAAGGGCTTGGAGCAACTTTTAAAAGTGCTATCACCTAAAAACTCTTTAAAAGATCCAATTAATGATCTTGCTTTTTGTGTATAACTTGGCTAATAGGAAACTAAAAAAAATACTGGTAGTTCCACTTCCATAAAGTTTAGTAACTTCTGCTCTGTTTATCGCATTATACAAACTGTGTTTCACGCTTTCTTAATTGGGTATATTAGTTACAAAATCCAAGCCTGAATTTATTACGTTGTTCTTTAAATTGGCAATTTCTATATCTAATATATTTTTATTGTGATCCTGTGCACAAGTATGCTGTTTTATTTTACATATATCGTTCCCCTGAAAATATAAATAAGTAGTATTTGACAACATCACATACATTGATCTGTCTCTGAATTAAGTTTGCACATTTGTTAGAGAAATCAGAAACAACTATGGGAATTACAAATATATACTTTAATATTCACACTCAGACATGGAATAAATATAACAAATATTGTCTAGGGCGGAAATCGAACCAGGACCTTCCCAGAAGGTAGTTGTAGAACCACCGCGCTAACATGCCCGTAGAAACATGCGGTAAATAAAATCAGTCCAACTTACTTTAATTACGATATTTCCTTTACATTTTTTCGTATACATTGAACACCACCACAATTGTCATCCTTTTTATATTCCTTAAGCTTATAATAATGTTTGCCTGCATGTAAAATTACAAACCCTAAAATATGTTGCTCGTTTCATTCGCCAGACATGCTTTGTTAATTAATAATATAATATAATGTTTTATTGTATAAAGATGACCGATAATCTAAACTTTACGCTAAAGCTGACACGATAAGCAAAATATTCCAAGTAGCCAGTATATAAGAAGAGGGCGAAAGGATAATAGGTAAATAGATAAATTTAAAATAAAACCAGATTCTGTCAGGTCACGATTCTCATCATCTTCATACACTCAAAGAAAGTTTAAACGGCATTTTTGGCTGCGTAGAAATAATCCAATAGATTTTAATATATTAAATATTAGTAAAATAATAGGTGCAAAAAGTTACCCGTAGGACTAATTCAACCAAGAGTACCTACAGAAAATTTACTTTGATTATCAGTGAACCAGGGGTAAAAAAATTAACCGTGTGTGTCCAAAAACTAACCATGGTACACCTAGGTGAACTACTTTGGTGTTCCGCGGTTAAATTTTTGGGAACATGTTTTATTTTTAATAATATTGAAGATTTTGTTTTACTTGTTATTTATGGCTGACGCTTTTTAAATATTTACTAAGCATTCCGAATATTTTAATTTATTAAACATTTTCATATGTAGCACATACATGTATTATTTTAGACAAATTTAATTATTTTAAACCGTCAGAATAGTATGAACCAAAATAACGTTATAGAGTTCATAAAAAAAGATGTTGCCAAACAGGTTTCAACAAATCATATCATTCGCATACAAAATTTTCAGTCGTAAATCAATAAATCATCCATTAAATAAAAAAATATTGACATTAGATTAAATAAGGCAAATACGAATTCAATTTACATTCAGATCAATTAGAATCAATATTATATTTTACGTAGGCGGGATGATAAATAGCTAGCCCAACCCATATTTTGTATAATAACGATATAAAATCTCCTTAGTATTTAACTCATTGGTTCATTAGCTGCCAGTTTTCCAAATTTCAAATCGATAGTATAGTTTTTCTTTTAAATATTGATATTTCAAAAAGTGTTCTTTTGTTTTTTCTGCAAAATGGATAAAATTGAGCTACGAGCTGTGATAAAGTTATTTAAAAGGATTAAAAGGTGGAGAGATCTTTTCGAGATGAAGGATGTTTTGGAAGAAAATGCTCCTTCATATGCGACCATAAAAAATTGGGTGGCTGAAATTAAACGTGACTGTACCAGCACCCAAGATGAGCATCGTCCAGGACGTCCAAACAGTGCCACTACTCCAGAAATTGTGATCAAAATTCATTATGCAGTTTTAGCTGACCGAAGATTGAAACATTCCGAGATAGCTGATACTGTAGGCATCTCTAAAGAACGGGCGCATTACATTTTGACTCAAGAATTATGCATGAAAAAATTATCCGCAAGGTGGGTGCCGCGATTGCTTACAGTTGACCAAAATGCGTTCGTATGCAAATTCCACAAGAATGTTGGGATCGCTTTAAGAGCCATACAACTGATTTTCTGCGACGGTTTGTTACTTAAAACGAGACTTGGGTTCACCACTATACCTGAATCAAACATTCATTCTAAACAATGGACGGAAAAAGGATCCCCGGCTCCAAAGAAAGCAAAAGCCGTGAAATCAGCGGGGAAAGTCATGGCGTCAGTATTTTGGGATTCGAAGGGTATATTGATAATTGATTACCTTCCAAAAGGACAAAACATAAATGGCGAATATATTGCTGATCTACTGGATAAATTACAAATGTGTATTCGTGAAAAAAGACCCGGCCTGGGTAAAAAAATAATTTTTCATCAGGATAATGCGCGCGTTCACACGTGCATCACTGCGATGGCGAATTTCAAAGAATTAAATTATGATTTGCTACCACACCCAGCTTATTCTCCTGATCTGGCACCATCTGACTTTCATCTATTTCCTAAGCTCAATTTTTTTTTAGGTGGACAAAGATTTGAAAATAATAGCGAGGTGATGTCTGCCATGGACAGTTATTTTGAAGGGCTTGAAGAAAACCACTTCAGGAATGGCATCAAGGCTTTAGAGCATAGATGAATGAAATGCATAGCGCTTCAAGGAGACTATGTCGAAAAATTAATATACTTTTAACACACTAATTCAAGTTTTTCTATGCTAGGCTGGCTATTTATCATCCCGCCCTCGTAATTGATTATTGTGATTAATGTTTTTATAGAGAAAATATAAATGGTTAAAAAAAATGTGTTTCTGATTGATATATTAAATATAGATATACAAAATAACACTCATAGCCCATCAAAATAAGAGGCTGGGAAAAAAGAGAATTTATAAATCAATAAACTAGACTCTTAAAATCAATTACTTTCGTCTTAAAAATAAAATTTTCAAGGCAAACTTTGAGAGAATACGAAATTTATCTTATACAAATATTTTCATTTATGAGTTCCCAATAATAGGCATTAAAGTATTTTAAATTTAAATAATTAGAACATGAAATATTTGAAAAATCACCTTTCACACATTTAAATTATTAACGCACATTTTTACAATAAGAAATTCATGAAATTCATAGTCACTATATAGTTCGTAAAGTACCGTTTTTATGTCACAAGATATATTAAGATATTTATAAGTATGTTGTACACGTTTGTATTCTAGTAATTAATTTTGAAATTTTAAGCGTTCCGTATCTCAAAAGGAATAACCGAATCTCATATACTTAGTTTCAATCAATACGTCTTTCGTCGTTCACAGTAAAGCTCCAAAACTACTACACCGATTTTGTTGAAAGGAGATGAGCCAAAATTGACTTAGAGTCGTTTCATAAATACTAATATAGATATCCTTTGATTGAGACGTTTACACTAGGATGACTCGAATTAGGCCGATTTTTTCAAATTATGTTGAATTTGAAGTGGGGGTTCTCAAAAGTTGCGTAAAATATAAGATATTAGATTTTTTTTTATTAACTTTCAGTACTAAAATATGATTATTTACTAATAAAAGCATACTTTTAAGGTAAAGGAAAATTTATTGATCTTTTACTGTCTTAAACTTACAAAAAATATACATATTATAATATTAGAAAAACAAATCATTACTAATTTAGTTCAAACGAAGGCATTATTGATTTCGATTGAAATTTTGTTCGAATTATTCCATCTCGAGCCTTTTTCTGTAGCAAAAGTGATATAAGCCTCTGTTAGTAATTTGACAGATCTTTCTACAGCCTGCGTATGACAGGGAAATAATGTGTAAGTTACATGGTTACATCTATTGGAAATTTGCTCTGCATTTTGTCAAAATGATAAGTGCCTTAAAATTGGCATGTAACCGTTTGCATTAAAATTAAGTTTTGGTAATTTAAATACTCTGACAGATGCACTCTTTTCCAATAATTCTTCTCAAAGCAAGTAGTCCCAAAAAACATTTTTCATCAATAATCATAACGAATAACAAATTCTTTGGATGAGCGAAGAAAGCATGTCTTTGAATAACAAGGTTAATTATATATTTAACTGTTTCATTGAAATATCTGGAAAATATATCGTGGACCATCATTGTAAGGCTTTTGCTTTTTCTTAAACCAAGTTGGGGTAATTTGAGTATACTTTAACAATGTATTCCACAAATATCAACTGCCTCAAATATAATCCGTTTATGTGCATATTAACCACTGTTAATATTATTGCACCTGCTTTCCAACCAGTGTTAGAACTGTGACATTTTTTCTTGTAGACCTTATCATTCCTTATTACGCCCTACGTATTGTATTTTTGTCCACTACTAATTAATTTTAATTCCGTTAATACTAGCCCTAAATATTGTAGATCTGCTTATATAACAGCTTCTCCAGATATATCCGAAACTCCATATAGATCACAAGTGTATGCAAATTTTGGTAGTTTTAAAGTATTTTATTACATTTTATAATTTTAAGTAGTAAGTAATAATAAAAGGAATCAAACTAAGTGAAAAAGTAATATATTCCAATGTAATTCCATATAACGTGTTGAAAATTATTAGACTTTTTTAGCTTAGGTTGGTTGGTTGTATTCTAACTTACGCGTAGGTACTATGTATGAAAATCGTCAATATAGTAATGTATCTGTCCAGTTAAAATAATTAGAATTGGAAAGTAAACTGATTTTGTTCAACGAAGTTATTTATAAAAGACCAAATAAAAAAAAGACCAGGAAAAATAAAATTTTAGAATTGATTTGAAGTGTTTGAAACTTATTTTTTCAATTATTTAGACTTCGGTAGAGGGCTACAATAATATATAACGCACCTTTTACGGCTTATCTACGATTTTATAAAAAAAAATTAAATTCGATCTATACACACACACTTTTACTTGCGGGCACGGGGGACTTTGGTACATAAACTTGTGTAAATTGGTAACCGAAAGAGAACAATATTTTTATTTTGGGATACATAAATTCAAAATAAGCATAAAATATTTTTTTAATTTTTTAATATAATTATGATTGAATTCATTTAAGAAAATGAGGTCTAAAATTTTGATAAGAATAAGGGACTACGAGGTCTAAAATTTTGATAAGAATAAACAAAGACTAGTTCTTTAACTACCCACAAATTACAGAAAAAAAACCGGCCGAATGCGAATCAGACTAAACCTCAAATTACTAAAAATCAGCGCCAGCAGAAATACATCATCTTTGAAATTTTCAACTATTTAACTATTACGCTTCATGAGATACAACAGCCTGGTGACATACAGACAGCGAAGTCGTAGTAATAGGGTTCCCGTCTAAAAAATTAAGTCTCGTTTTATTTTTTACAGAACGCAACATTATTCAAATCCTCACCTTCCATTCTTAGTGACGATCATCTCGTTAGTTAACGTTTGGAAGCGCACCCAGAGCTCCCTGTCGTCGAGGGCTACGCTCACCTCCCGCTCTCGGCCACCGCGAGAACCGCCACCGCCTACTGTTGGCTCTACGGCACTCAAGATGTGAGATGCCGCCATCCTATAAACAATATAATTATCATATAGCATAATTTTCAAAATTCACCAGTCCCAGGTAGCCGAGATTGAATCCGAACTCAAAACCTTTCTTAATCCGGGCAACCGGAAATTATATCACATCAAATCTAACGCAATCAAAAATTTCGAGGCACTGTTATTTCTTCGTTTATATTTAATTACATAACAATAAAAGCGAATCGTAGCACAAAACTCGAAAAGAGCTGTGCTGTAAGTTTTCGTGTATTTTAATAATATTTGCTGAATTTTGACTCCCATTGAAACTGTTCCTAGATGTAAATATTATACAATTTTGACTTTATAGAATTATAACTAGAAATAAATAATATTATATTATAATCTGATGACCGTTACCTAAAACTATAAAATGTTCAAAGATTTAGATACGATGTTCGCCGTGTGAGTATTCGTTTAAAATATATATTCCTGAGATTCACAATCAAATTATATTAACCGTAAATACCTAGGAAGTTTGATATGGAGATTTGATATGAAAACAATGACATGCAATCAAACAGACAAATTTCTTTATTGCAGGCTAGACAGGACATAATACAGAGAAGATAGAAAAAAGAGAAAGATTGCAAAGGGCGACCTTATTACTACGTAGCAATCTCTTCCAGGCAACCCGAGGCAAAGAAATACATGAACTATATAATAAAAAGAGGGGAGTGCAAGATGGAGAAATAAATAGATAAATCTGTATAATGTTATATAGTAAATAAAATAGATAAAGATAAAAAAGTCATTAAACATAAACATATTAACAGTTTTCAAGGAAGTATTAATATTTAATTTAAAGAAATAAATATTTTGACTGTTGCCTCTCAATACATCTATGAAAATATTATGTACGTAAGAAAACATTACGATTCTTTCACAAAAAAAGTAGTGTTGTATTTTTATTTCTTGCGTTAAGATTACCGCAAGAAATAAAAATAAACTTGCCGTTCCAAGCTTCAGACTTCAGAAAACCGGAGAGTCATTTCTGGGTAAATGCAATGCTATGTTCAATAAAGTTCCACAAAATGTAATTGACCTACCCATAAATAAATTTAAAATTCCTGTAAAGAACATACTTATGACTAAAAATATATTGATGATTTATTTTAAGGACCGCAATGCATGGTATTAATAGCCTTCGCTTTGTTCTAACGACTAACAAACTATGACCTGCAGAATTTGAAAGTTGTATTTATTATTGTGATAATACATATTATTTTGATAATGACATGATTTTGTAAATGTCATTACTTATCATAAAGAGCTGGTAAGTTTCTTTCACTTATTCTTCTTGTCAGCTAAAATATGTCCTGAACAATTGGTAGGGGAAAAATTTTTTTTGGACATTTAAAAGTGCTTGTAACAAGCTTAGTTGAATAAAGATATTTTCATTTCATTTCAATAATATTATTGCGCCTTACACTCAGTTACTTTTATCGTTTATCTGTAATTTTAAACAAACAATTTAACACGTTACGAAACCCAATCTATACTAACAAATGGAATGGTACACGAAATCTGAATGCAAATATCATTATTTTATAGTGAGTTTGTAGGAGGCACGATCTCCTGGGCAATATTTGTTGAAACCATTAACACTTACTACGTAAGTTCAACGTCCCAACTCAAGTTAGAAAAAAGTGCACTAAATTTTTACAGATAAAATATACAGTTTACTACTAAGTACTCCAAATACATTTTGAAAATAATGATGAAGAATTAGAAGCAATGTTGTGATTGGAGCTGATTGGAATTCCATATTAGTTGCGTCATCGATATTTGAAATTTTTAACCGTATGGATTCGTTTTTTTTTATCAATTAAATAAGAAATTCTAACATAAGACTTTTGCTATGGATTTGCCCACTTTTAATATAAATTGTTTTATTTGCCATAGACGGGGCAGAAAACCAAAACCATTGACTGTGTTAGCTGCATACATGTTACTGTGACGTGTGTTGACTTTTTATCTAAAATGAGGTATCATTGCTCACACATGATGCTCATTTAATATGTACCATTGCAGCAGTTACGTCACTTACACATTAAAAAATGTATGGTGCCGTAAAGTACCTACTCCTTGGTTACGAGACGTTTAAACACTATTACTTTATTGAATACTATCATGAATTGTCGAGACTCGCCTATAGAGTGTAAACTCGTAATTCGTTTTATGTCCATCTCCGAGAATAAGCCACGAAGGTCCCTATCGTATTCCAACAACATTTAAGTTTAAACAAGAAAGCATCCAGTGTGTATGTATCTATAAACAAAATAATTACAGCGCTAGCCCACTCGTCTGCAACGTCATTATTCATCGTTTTACGACTCCATGAAGTATAAATATTAAACGTAAGTCGTATAAATGAATTGCGAACATTTTCTTTTTAATGGCAAGGATTATGCGTGTGTCGGGCCCGAGTTCGGATCTAACAAAATTTAATTGCACAAGACTAATCATGTCCTATGTCTGCGCTGGTCTCCAACGGTAGATCAGAAGAGTTAACACCGAACGTGGAATGTCTCCTAATCATGGTAAAGTGCCGACGTTTTACAGATCCCTATAAAATATCAAAGATAACAACGAGTGCCTATATGAAGGTTGCGATGAATCAAGTCCAAGACGAGTGATTGGAGGTTTATGGCGTTCTATGATAAATGTAAGCATTATATTATCGGTAGTGAGAGCGAATGACTAGAGAATCCTAGTGCGAGCCAACTCTATGTGGCAAAGGTGCTAATGATCAAATGCGAGACCGACGGTACCGATATTGAAACCATTGAAACAATACGGCCAGTGTTGTCTTTCCCAATTTCAAAGTTTGCAGAATGGCTTCGTAATGAAGGCCAAGAAGGCTATGCAAATGGAATGACGCCGAAAACTCAAGTAAGTATTTTTATAGTCTTGCGTCATCGTTGTTTCAAACTTGAATTTTCATTATCACTTGGCATGTATACAATCGTCAGCCTTGATATGTTAATCAAACAATAGGCAAAAATCAAATAAGCGCAACACATGATCAATAATTTTCGACCTTACTATTTAATTAATTTCATGGTATTAATTCTGTTTATAATTATTGTGATGTTGTTTATGCAAATAAAGATACTCCCTTAACTCTGGTATTAATTATTAGCTTAAAAACAAACTGAATACGTCAAAAGCTCAAATAAAAGCTGTAACAAATCGATATTATAATTATATAATTTGGTATTTACCTAAGTGAATATGACTTCTAAACAACTAAGAATTTTATATATGTCGCAGCCAAGTGAAATAATCAGCCGACCAATTGGGCGCCTAACCCTTTCGTAGAATGATTCCATTCAATTAACGGGCTGTTTTGCGATCAGCCGAGTAGTTGACCTCAATGTTCTACAATACGGCTGAAAAAGCTCAGCCATCTAATTAACTGTCAAGTCATCGGAAACACCGAAATTTATTAGTAGGATTAGAAGTAAAACAAAATAAATAGTGTAGTGAATGATTTTATTTTAACCTCAAAAACTACTTTTTATGATCCAATACAGGAAACTATTGTACACACCCATTACACAAGTAATTTTATACAAAGTAATATTATACAAAGACAAGATACACCGCGATTCAGACGGCCACATCGCCACCTATCGAAATGTGAATAAGGAATTTATTTGACTGGGATTGTTTTGATATTTTCATTACTATTTCAAAATTTGGTGCTACAATAGTGAATAGCAGCATACAATGATAAACAACAAAGTTATTTTGGTCCTGTAGGTCACGTGATAGGTTATAAATTCGCGATCGACTCGAAGATTCGATTAGGTTTTAAATTTCAACACTATTTTTTTAACAGGTAACAAAACTAAATGAATGCTTTGGCGGCTTTTAAAGTAGCGGTCTTATTGAATAGTCCAAATGTCATAATGATTAAACTGGATAACTAAGCGTGCGATTGAATGGCGTTGACTGCGACATACATATATACATACCTGCTTAGTACGGCTTTATTCATTGAATAAATACAGTTACACCATAGTTGTATCACTTGCTGCGTACTTGATATGTAATGTCTATTCGAAAAATATTTTTATATTATACCTAAATGTAAATATTCAAATTCGGAAGCTGATAACCGCAATCAAAGGTTCTTTGGGACTACATTTCAATTAAATTTTATTCCTCAATTCTGTGGTTGTCATAAAACTTTAAAGTTTGACGAGTCAAGCCCATTGAGGAACTCCGAATTGATATTAATTCAAATAACTTGGGTTAAAAAGTCAGGGTTTTATGTGAGTTATAAAAGTTTATTGTAGGGCTTTGTGGCGAACCGGACGCGCCGATGCGCGATGCTCTGGTGACAGCCTGCGCTTACACCGACGATGACGCTTCAACGATCTCCGGGAGCCGCTTTGTGTATTTATATAGGTGAGTAAGTAAGGACAATGAAACACGAACCTAATGAGAATATAAATCTACTAGATGTTTTCTCGCGTAATTATAGCTTATGTCACCCTCGCTCGTATGATTTTTTTAAATCAGTCTAGTAATTTCGGAGCCTTTTCGATGCAAACATACAAACATTCTAATCTTTTCTTGTCTAATATAGTTTAAAAATGTTATTGTTGTCCATTTATAAACAGAATGCGTAATGCTACAACTCATATAATATAGTTCACAGTTATTATTTAAGGAACAATATTATAGTAGCTCTTTCAGCCTGGTACCCTCTAAAAAGTCTTTGATATTTTAAGCTTTCAGAGCTTTTATACCTTCTCATATATTTCAGAACTAATATATATCTGGGATTATACAAAAAACTAATCAGTTTCGTTGCTTTCTTAAATTGAAGACACATACAAGAAAGGCTTAATTACAAAAGATAGGCACTAGCACCAACCATGGTACTTTTGAATAAAGGATTTAAATACAATGCGAATGAAAACATACGGTAATGCAAGTAGGGTATTTACGTATAAAATTATATTTTTCCTAAAA